GCAACTAAGAGGGAGGGAAAGATTAGGGCATCATGCTTGTGTAATATATCCACCCATATGGAAACAGCACAGTGAAAAAATTTGGCCAATCCTTTTTTGGATTGAAATATGTGTCTGACTTGTCTGGCACAGCACTTCTATGGTAATAGTCTGACATCTTCATTGTACAATCTTATGGAAATTACTATCAAATATGTGTTGTTTTTTTTTGTAAATCCTATGCAATAACAGATTTTTTTTCAATATCTGCTACAACAATATCTCTGTCCTTAGAAACTGGATATAGAAGAAAAAAATACAAAAAGCTGAAAGGGGGAAAAATATTAGTGTCAAAACACTGAATAGGAATGGGGTCACTGCAGTATATATGGCTAATAGAAATGTGGTTTTCCAGAAGAGATTCAGTGAAATTTTGGATTAATATATTATCAGTAGATTAGAGAACTATAATTTTACAATGTGCTCAAAAGACTTACCTTAAATATAGAGGACAGGCATGGGAATTGAAAGTGGAATGTACTTTGTATATGTTAAGGAGTGTGAGTATTCCAGCATGTTATGTTTTTCTATATTTTTAAGCAGAAAGAAACAGAAAATAAAACCTTTTCTAATGTAATTTCATGTCGCCCATAGTTTTTTCAAACATGACTAAATGAGCTAGTGATGAGCATTTGCAATCCAATCCGCTACCTGCAAAAAACGCAATACATATCCCCTGGAGTGAGAAGAAGAATTTATTCATGCATTCACAGAGACGTATGAACTTCTTTGCAGGGTAAGCTATGAAAGTTTTGTCAGTTTCTGTAAAAATAATGTATGTAAGATTTTAATGTCAATGTTTATTGAACGTTTGCCATTTATTTGTGAAGCCATGCAGTGACAATGTAGCGCTTAAATGCTGGGTCAATTTTTATTAATAAATCAAAACAGTAGAAAATGGGAAATAATAGAAGAAACAGGGAAAAATTATTTGCTAGACCCACAGGTTATAGTCACTTTATCCACTCATGTCACCTCTCTGAAACTTTTTTTTATAGAAGAGAGAGATGAAATCCTAACCCCCTATGATAAAAGCACAGCTGCACTCAATAGAAAAATCATATGATTTTTAGTTGTGAGGACACAGCAATAAAAGAATATGAAGCAGAGGTGCAAAAAAGCTAAGCAGGCATAGAGGATTAGATGTGTCATCTGGTCACACTGATACGACTGCAGGATCGATTATGGGCTGCCTTACTTTTCCTGCCCCGTTTTCATCATTTAATCCTAATTGAAACCTGATCACCAAAGGACAGGCGCTGGCACACACATACCGATGGAGATGAGTTGTGCATCGATGCACAAACACACTGGCTCAGTGCTGACAATAGAAAAGCAAAACCCGTATGAGATAATGAGAGCTGATGTCCATCTAAGTAAAGGAGCAAATCGTTATCGGGGTTGGGGGGATACGTGCTGCACCATCAGAAGATAAAATATAGTAACAACAATCACAGGTTGTATCTCCTGCTCATTGGCAGCAAGGCTGAGAAACAAACAGGATGCACCACGTGTGTACAATTTCTTTTTGTGAAGCTTAATGCAGACAGTTACAGACGGCTCATGGAGTACACAAATGAGTGTGGTGTGTTAAAAAAGATGGGAAGTTGACTCACCCAGGACTGGAAGCTGCACTATGGAGCTCGTACATCTACAGGGCTGAAGATGCTCTGATCACTTGTGGCCGTCCGGGCTGCTTGTACAGGATAACGCTGCTGCTCCAGTCTCTCCAAGCACAGAGCATCCTCCTCCCCTTCCTCCTCCTCCTCCTCCTCCTCCTCTTCTTTCTCCAGCAGCACTAGGAGCAGCAGCTGGACTGGAGCATATTTACTCGCCTTCCCCCGCTTTCTGCTCTTCCGTGCTCTGCTGATTAATTGTCTACAGGAGTCTATGGATCTCCTTTGTCGCCTCTGAATGCAGCAGGAACTCGTCTTATGTCTTCACGGTGCAGGGAAGCGGTGGGGGCTGCCACCAGCAGTGGTGGGCAGCTTAGGCTGATGCTGCTCAGGTTCTTGGGTTGCATGTGGGTGTAAGTGTGCTGCTGTTGCGTGTGTGTTAGGGAAAGAGAATGTGGTGCTGTTTGAAAGAGGAGCCGGCTGTTGGTCATTGGGGCTCATCTGCGCTGTTGCCTCTCTCCCCCTCTCTCTATGTCATTCTCTAGATACTGTATGCTGCATTCAGATACTGTGGAACACATATAAAATGTGTGGCATACTAAAAAACATCAGACAGCTTCAATTTCTCATTTGGTGGATGCACTCAGAGCTCTCTTCTGGTTGAAAAACATGTGGGAAGAATTTGAACAAGTAAAAACAAACAATTGAAAAACAAATGAATCTAGGGAAACAAATTCATAGAATGACTTGAAAATGTATACCACCTCCGTTTTCTCCCTTAAAAAAATTGATAAATGCATCTTAAGAAAAGCTTTCTTTCAACAACAGAAGAAAAAGGAAGAACTAGATTTCATAATGTGATTTTATCACTTCAAAAACTATTTTTTCAATTACATTTTTTTCATAACATAAAGCGTGTTATAAAGAATTACTATATATCATGTACAGTTGTTACTTTCATGGTTTGTAGGGTCATATCAGTGCCAGTCCCAGAGGTCGTCCCAAAGAAGCAAAGAATTCAGGAGACCTGTGGTAGCAAAGCTAAAAACTTGCAGGTTTCACAGAGCTACCATGGAGAGAGATTCCCCAGAGGTTGGTTTCCGACCATGAAGGGGTGCTAGATCACAGAGGGCTTTAAAACTCAAAATCACAAAAGATTCCTGGACACCTGGACCCAGCTAAAATCTCTGGTGATTGATAGAACTCACTGAGAAACTCTGATGAAGGCTTGGACCCATGGAAAAGCTCTAATAAAAGCTGAGACTCACAAAGTTGCTTAACAGCCAGGCACACAAAAATAGGTGCAGTTGCTAGGAACCAACAGAGGATGTCAGCAACAGGAAAATAAGGCTGGCCCACCTGAACACTCTTGTCAGAAAACTCAAGGGCTGAAACCACAAGTAGGTACTTGGAAACCAATGTTGGAGGCTTAGGTAGGTAAGGAAAATGTCCTGTTCACTCTGTCGATTGGTTTGTGCAGATCTCCGAAACTGGGACCCAGACAGCATCTTGAGATGAGGAGGAGGTTTGATTCATACTGCAAGGCGCAGGTTCTGCTACTCTTAAAGTGAGGAGCAGGTTGTAGTGCTGTCACACTACAAGCAGCAGGGGTAGGTGTTGTCAAAACAGTTTCAGGTAGGCTGTCTGAGCAGGTTTTGGTAACTTGAACTGGATCCTACAATGAAGAGCTGCACTAGAACTGGGAAGCACAGTGCAGGAGTTTGCCGGCCATGATGGAGAAAGTATGAAATATCGAAACCAGAGGCTGCTTTCTGTTCTGCGGAAACAGGCAGGAGTGTAAATGCCATGGGCTACTTTACCTAGGTGGAATTGTTGGTTTTAGCCCCAAACAGAAATTTGCTCTTAGTCCTCATCACCTGACCAAATGGGTATCACACCCAAGTGGAACTCCCACACTTTTCCTTGTAAGGTGGTTGAACATCCACACATTTTTCTAGAGCACAATCTTCTTCCTCTGTCTTTCACTCTCTGTCTTTGCCCCCTCTCTCCTGTTCTTCACCCTCTCTCCGGTTCCTCACCCTTTCTTCTGTTCCTCACCTTTTCTATGTCACCAGGCGGCCCCACCTTTAGTCCTGCCATTTATCTTCAGCTGATATTATGTTGAGTTTGTGCTGAGGAAACACCGGACTGTATGGACAAAGAAGTTGCTTATTTGATGCTCACAAGTTTTTTCTCAGGATTTAGTAGCAGGTTGAGCCAGAAAACACTCTTTCTCAGTCACTAAGTAAGATTCATGACTTTTAACTTCTGACTGGTTCCACATCCCGTCCATCCCTGCACCATCTCCACCATTGCACTGATCTTTGTGGCACTGCCCTTTACTGGTTTCACTCCTTACTCACAGAATGGACCTATCTTTGGCCTAGTCTGAGGCAAAATCCAGCCGTTACACTGTCCCCTGTGGGGCCCCTCAGGGCTCCCTACTTGATCTTACCCTTTTCACCATCTACATGCTTGGCCATGTTGTCAGTAGGCATGTTATTAATTTCCATGGATACCCTGCAGAGACTCAACTCTTTCTCCAGATCTCTCTTTCCAGTTCCTTCTCAGCCAACCTGACCTCGCTTCTATCTGGAGGAGATAAAGGTGTACATGAGTAAAAACTTCCTGCAGTCAACCAAAAAGAAACAAACATGAGCCATTCGAACCAAAAACTCTAACCAAAAATACTCCTGCTGTTATTTCTGTTTCATTCTTCCTCCGCACCAGTCCTGCCTCTCCATCTGTTACTATCTATCTCCATATGTTCCTCACCTTTCTTTTGACAAATATGTCACCTCATTCGTAAAAACTCCTTTTTACACCTATGTAATTTTTCCAAACTGGAGCCCTACCTTACTCCCTGCAGCTGAGAATTTGTCCATGCCTTTGTCTCCTGAAGGCTGGACTACAGTAATGCACCCCTTATATGGATTCCTGTTAGGAATCCATATAAGGGCTATGTATGTGTTTAAAAGAAAGCGCTGGAAAAGTTCGGATGATGGTGCAAAAACAGCAGCACTTCACCCCCGTTTTTAAGCACTCTGCACTAGCTCCCTATCCACCACTCACTCACATCCAACACTCACTTCATCTCACCTCAAACATGAACCCAGACCCAGCCAGGCCAACAACATCCCGTCTTTGGAGAATGGGGACCTAGTGGTTAGGGCATAGAGCTTGGAATCCTGAGGTTGTGAGTTCGAGCCCCACTCCTACAGACTACCACTCTGGGTCTCTGAGAAAGACCCTTAACCCCACACTGCTCCCCGGGCGCCCACGATGGCAGCCCACTGCTCCCCAAGGGGATGGGTTAAAATGCAGAGGTAAATTTCTCCAATGTGAGATCAATAAATTCATTTATTCTGCACAGGACAATGAGTGACAGAGCCATTGAGGCCACAGCTCCCCATTTACTGAACACTCTCAGAGCCCTACAGATGATGGATGTTTTTAAGGGGGGACTTAAAAGCTCCTTATTCAGAAAGGCATACTCTGCCTAGTTGTTGTTTTTATGCTTTATTTTTATGGTCCTATTTTTTTTTATTTTTGCTATAGTAGCACTTTGAGATTTGTAAATAGTGTGTTTGTAAAGAGCATTACAAATAAATACATTTGTTTATTATTATTGTTATGACAGATAAAAGTATTTTAATATAAAGTTACTCCAGTAAATCTATCCACTACCCACTGCTTTTCATGTAGGACACTTATTGGCAGGTGCAGAAGGTAGCCGTTTCAGAAAGCACATCTGGTTATTTTAAATGATCAAATTTAGTGTGTGTCAGTCCCATTGGTCACTATGTTTTTTGTTAGTTCAACGTTTATAAGCATTTTCATGAAATCATATTTTTTTTTAAAACTAGATTAAAATAAAAACCTAAAAAAAAAAAATCTACTAAAGTTTTTGTGGAGGATTTTTTTAAAAGACCCACCCTCTCTACTTAAAAAAAAGTGCACGTGCAAGAGCATGCAAATCCAATAATGCTGTGTGAGGAGAGCTCTCCATGCAAAGCATTCTGGGATATATCTGCCTCTTCTGACGCCTTTCTTTTCTTCTCATACACTTTGCAGACACTTTCTCTCTTACAACCCTCAGCTGTTTTCAAAGAACCGTGGTGAAAAAGGTGAGCTTCAATGACTGTAACGATAGCTCACCACCAATATGAGGCTGAAAGTGCGCATGTGCACAAAAAGATAGCTAATGGGATGAGCATGTAGAATGACCTTAAACGTGTCACCAGAATGATAGACAATTAGGAGGACCACTTATTTAGATGATCCACCCAGAAATAACAGATTGTCCTCTATAACTTTAAGAATCTCAATTCGAAGTTTAAGCTCCCTATAGATACTTTTAAAAAAACTTGCTACACCACTGGCCCAATGTATATTGTTCTCTGCCTGCCATCCAAAGTATTCAAACATGTATTCAAGTATTCAAACCTTCTTCCTTTGCTTATGTCAACCTGCCACAGGTTGGATTGGCAAAGTATCAAACCCGCAGCAGGATATCAGTAGACACATGCTATACTGATATATTTTTATATTCATTCAATATTTTAATACAAACAGACAGTTAAAAAACACATTAAGAAGAATACAGCATCAGACGACTTGACAATAAAGTGATAAAAGATAAGAACACAATTTCAATGAAAGGAAATTTACTTGAAGCAGGTTTTAATTAACAGAAACACATGAGTCATGACAGTAACAGCTGTACAAAGAACTACCAGTGACAATATGAACTGATTACTATGAATTCTCTTGATGCAGTACTTCCTCTGAGCCAAAACATAATGCTTAAGACAAAAAAATAACAATAAAAAGTTTCTTGGGCTGCTTGTTACTTTAGCCAAGTATTCTGTCCAAGTCAGGGGAGTCTTAAAAGTCCTCACACAAATGCAATAAAGTTCCTAGACCACAAATAGTTTGAAAATCAAAACATGTTTCTGTACACATTAGAAACTAATTACTTAATGTTTTTTCTGTTCAATTTTAAATATAGACTGCATTTGTGAATACAGTGTTTGCATTGAACTTAACTGAGAATGTTTTAGCTCTATGTTCTTTTTGCTACTGTATTATACCAAAATTAAGTGATGCATAGTTGTGAAGTAGAAACAATCTATTTTAAAATGTGGTTA